GATACATCCTAAATCTTCCGTTTTTGTTTCAAGGTTTCATAAAGATACGGTGCTTTAAACTAACTTAAATAAATACCTGATTTTAAACTGTTGAATAAATATCAGAATATATGTGACTGAACTGAAGTGACTGTTTTTATAAAGTGCCTTGAGGAGACATTTGCTAAACTGACTTTAATTAAAAAGCTGTTTTCCAGGTGAGAACAGTGGACATGTTCCCATGAGGAAGCTGATCTTCACCTTTTCTCCTCTCGTTCTCCTGATGATGACCTGATGTGACGTCACTGCAGGTCAAGCTGTCGTCTCTAATCAGTTCTTTCTGATCTGAAATCAGACGAAACCAGGATGAGAGCACAGCAGGGTAACATTGAAACATTAGGGAATTCAACATTTTTAAAATACTGGATGTAAATGAAGTATTTTCATAATGACAGTGAAAGAGATGTGAACTGGAAAACCAGTGAGGCTCACCTCTTGACTTGCTGCAAACACGCCAACCCAGAAAAACTAACATAACCAGAACAAACAGAGACACAAGAGGCAACAACACAACAAGAAGAAGAGAGGAGGAGGTCTGGGCAGCAAGGGGAGTTTGGGTAGAAGGGATGGAGGAATCCTCTGAAACAGAAAAATAATTTTAATCTCATTTCCTTATTCTGCAGCTCAGAGTGACGTCATCTCCCTCCATCACAGGGAGGACAGGACTCTGCAGGATCACTGATCCACCTCAACACAGAGACAAACTACAGCATTTCATCCATTTCCACACAGCAACACTAACTCCACAGTCTGATCTTACCAGAGACAGAGAGCTGGATGCTGCTGCTGCTGCTGGAGGATCCAGACATGGACTCACACCAGTACAGGCCAGAGTCTGATGGGTACAAGTAGCTGATGCTGCAGGAGGAACCAGCTGATTTCCCCCACCCTTTTCCACACTCAGTCCTGGTTCCTCTGGTTGTGTTTCTCCTCACAGTTCCTCCATCAGAGCTGTTTTCATCCTCACAGATCAGAGTCACTGATTCTCCTCCAAAGAACTGAGATCTGCTGGGACTCACAGTCAGAGCAGCTGCTGCATGAAAAACAACAAAAAGTGGTTTTACAGATGATTGTACTGATGTTTCTGTAAATCTAAGAGCCAGACATGTTGACCAGCTGTTCATAACATTTTCTCTATAAAAGGTTCACTAACCTTGAATGTTTGGTTGAACCTGCAAGCAGATCAGAACTGTAGAATAAACACAAAATGGATCAGATCTGATGGACAACAATGAGGTTTTATAGTCACTGAATGTAAATGTTCGTGTTTATAATCAAATACATTTTAACAGTGTTGGTTACAGTTCTGCCCTCACTGTGTTTTCATCCTGTTTTCATTTATTGCATATTTCTACCTTTGTGTGATAAAATGTTTGTTTTAATTGTCACATTTGCTGCTTTTCCAAAAGCAGAAAAACTGACTTCCAGTTTTCAGACATGGAAATGATCCTAATACTTTATTTTACAGAACAACTGACCAGAGATCAGCCTTTACGGGTCAAGTTCTCAGAACAGGCTTCACTTATTTTGCTTTATGGAAAATACAATATGTTGTATTTTGTCATGATGTGTTTCCAGTCCAAACGTCTCTTCGTCTCCATGGAGGATAAATATGAACAGTTCCTTTTCTAAGTGACTCACTTAGAGCTCAATTATAGTTTTATATTGATTTCATTCTTTTCTGAAATGCTCTCTGAGTCGATATCACCTTTAATTTTGTTAAAATGACAAAGAGAATAGAGATGTGTCTTATAAGTATAAATGTCTGGATCTCTCCTGTTATCTCATGCTAACAGAGTTTCTTCTTTTCTTCAGTTTCAGAATAAATTAAATAAAAACAGTGATTCTCTACTTACAGATCAGACAGTGAAACGATGTTTCCTCCATTTCAGCTCTGACTCTTTGAGCAGTTTTACGTTTTTTTACTAGAAACCAACTGAAGTCTTAGCCCACCCTCTTCCTGTGGTGTTGTTCTTGTTTAAACCACATTTATCATCTAAATGTTTCACAGCAGCAAAAACCACAAATAAAACCAAGAAAAACAGTGATGACATTTTTATTATCAACAGTAATCAAGTATCTTCACAGGTTCAGTTCAGTTTTTACCCAGAAACAACAAAACTCAGTCCAGTCCTAACTCAGATCCGGTCCAGGAAAATTTAATGCATCAACATTTAATCAGCAGCTTCAGCTGAGACCTGCCCGTAAACAAGTGATGTCACAGCCACACCGTTTTTCAATTGGCTGCCGCTGTCAGTGGGCGGGGCTACAGGTGAGAGGCTGAGCAGGACTGGACCGCTTCACCTGGAGGGAAGATGAGGTCTGAGTTCCTGCTTCAACACGACCGAACCAAACTACTGGACCGACGTTCCTCTGGACCGGAGAACCGGGCTGAACCAGAACCAGAACCTGGAGCATCAGTCAGGACCAGAGTTGGACTCCTCTGAGCTGTTTTTGTTTTTTAACTCTCATGAAACACACCGACACCCCATGACCTCTGACCCCATGCATGTCTGAGATGTTCCTCTGCTGTAGCAGGACTACATTACCCAGAATTCCACAGAATCCAGCTGCTGGTTTGGACCTTAGAGACTGAAACTAAAACCTCTGATCAGATTTGACCCTGGAGCTTTCCAGAGGGGAGGGAAATGGTTTTAGTTCAATATGTCGTAAAGCCAGGAAGTATTTCAGGAGTTTATGTTGTTATTTTAGGATCAGGCTGGAGCTGAGAGTCTGAGTAAGGAATCAGATTCTGACTAAACCTCAGAGTTCATCAGTCCTGGTCCATAAAGTTCTGCCCTCTGGGCTTTAGGAGGACAGCAGCAGCTCACCGGCTTCCAGCTGAAGGCTCAGCAACAGGATTCATCACCTGCATCAACATGAAAACATGAAGGACAGGAAGTCCTGAGGCCTAAGAACCAGCTGGCCACGTGGTTTCTTGTTTATTGTTGCTGAAAATGTGATATAAATAAAATCACCTCAGCGCCCTCTGGTGACAGAATGGCGATATAACGTTACCAAGAGGCTCCACCTCATTTTGAATAGTAAACATTTTTCTCCAGGTGCCACACCTACAGCTTCATCCCTTCCTGTTCAGGAGTTGAACATCAGTTTTTGTTTTTATCTCTTTTCTCTGGTTGCGGTGTTTAATCTGGATTGGTATAAAATGTCCAGAGTTACCCGGTGGCTCTGCGGCCTCTCTCTGCTCTCTGCGACACTTCCGGTCTTTATCTCCGCAGGTGAGTCACTGCGTCAGGTAAACTGCGGTAAACAGGCTGTTGGATCAGGAGAAAAACATTACGACCTGTTTTTAGACTTAGAAACGGAGAGAATACACAAACAGAAAGAAATATGAGATGAGATTTAAGTGTAAACCGACTGAATTAAAGCAAAACCTGCTTGTTTTCAGATCTTGGTGCTTCGTGCTGTTTCAGTTTCAGTTTACAGGAAAGTCTTAAAATAACCACAACATGGTTTGAACTCTATCTTTTTATTTTCCTTTAATCAAGAATCCTGATGTATTCATCTTTCAAAGGATGAGGAAACAATAGAAAATAATAAAAAATACAAACGTAGCATTTATTAATCAGATCCATGTAATGATTTTTTTGCTTACTTTCATTTTCACCATAATCATTAATTTTACTTTCAGGCAAGAGAAACATGCAACATTCACAGATTAAGTTGCAGCATATTAATAATTTAGTTTATTATTTTAATTTAACTAAACCATTTTAACTACACGGCCATCTTTGTTCAGATAATATTCATAACCTGGATTCAAATCTTGATGAAAATCATTCCTAGTTTTTCCACTTGGATTAGAGATGTGAATTAATTTGTATTCATAAATAAAGATTTAATTATAATAACTAGAAGTCAAAACATGTTATGAAAATCTGAAATAACCATCAACCTCAAAGTCTGGAAACAATTATCAGAAAAATTCATTTTACAAAATAAATAATTTTAACTCATCATCTTGTTCTTGATGTTTGTATCATAATTAACACATCAGGATAATTAATTATAATTAATACATCAGGATTTTACTCTCAATGTTGCAATGATACTTAAAAAGCAATTTAAAAAGTTTTAATGTTAATAAATCATCCTGCTCAGCAATAAGACCTTCATAAAACAAAACTGATAAATAATATAATATTATTACTATAAAATAAATTGATCAAATGTTTGTTGTTAATTGATGAGGCTTTGAACCGGATCAGAACCAGCCGCCTCCCTGATGGACAGTAACCATGTTTTAATGGACAGATGATGATGTCATCACATTTTATTGGACAGATGATGATGTCATCACATGTTATTGGACAGATGATGATGTCATCACATGTTATTGGACAGATGATGATGTCATCACATTAAAAGCGCCGTAGTTTTCAGATATTTCAGTTTTTCTCTCCGTTTCTCCTCAGATCAGCCGATCAGATCTGGACCTGGACAGACGGTCACTCTGCCGTGCCGCCTGACCAGCAGAGACCCGGTTCTGGTTGTGGAGTGGAGCAGAACCGATCTGGGGCCAGATTACGTTCTCCTGTATCGGGACGAGCAGATCGACCTGTTTAACCAGCATCCGTCCTACCAGAACCGGGTTGGACTGAAGGACCTGCAGAACGGAGACGTGTCTCTGGTTCTGCAGGTCCAAACGACTGATGACAGCGGGACGTACGAGTGTCGAGTCGTTCAGACCGGAAAGAACCGCAAGAAGCAACTGATCAGCTCCGTCCACCTGGTTGTAGCTCCGCCTTCTCCGCCAGGTGAGAGTCTGGATCAGAACCAGCAGCTTCCTGGTTCTGGACCTCAGGTCAGATGATGATCTTCAGTCGGGTCAGACTAATTCCTGGTTCTGTTCTGCAGCTCACTTTGAGAAACTCACAGGAGACCAGAAAACCCGGACCGGATCAGAGGAGGAGGGAGGAAGCCAGGAGGTGTTGACCTCTGACCCTGCAGCTGGTACCGCCTCTCCTCTTCTGTTGGGTTTAGAGATTCTCATTACATCTGATTGGATGTTTTCTGTTTTGTCTTTGTGTCCATGTTTCTTCCTTCCTCACGTCTCGCCTCCTTCATCTCCACAGCTTCCAGCAGATGATCAGCCTGATGGCAAACATTAAACCTTTAAATCAAAACTGATCCAAACTGATCACAGATCAGTTTGGATCAGTTAAACTGATCATTAGTCGTATAAAGACAAGAGGAACCAAATGTTCAGTCAGAACTTTTTCTCTGGGTTCAGATTCCAGCTTCATTTATTCACCCTCTAAATTTAAGTTATTTAATGGAGACGAGACTCTATAGTGAGAATCTAATAACTGTAAGTTGAGTTTGATGGCCCAGAAAAAGCTGCATTGTTTTAGTACTTTATTGATAAAACAGCAGTAAAATAAAAAGCTTGCAAATCTCTGCATCTTTCAGAAATATTACTCTAAAAAGCATTTCTTCCTTCCACAGTGAACACTCAGCTCCAGTTCACACAGCAGCAGTTTGATGCTGGTTTTGTCCCAATTTTCCTCTTCTGACAACCAGAATGCTCTGATGAGATGTTTTGTGTTGATCAGGTGAGCAAACTGCAGGTGGTCCAACTTGGTCCTGTGGTACTTCAGTCCCTCAGATTAGCTGTCAGGACATCAGGTCTGTAATTTAACCGTTATGTTTATTTCTTTGGAACATTTTAAACATGAGGGACGTTTACAGCTCCAGAGACAGAAGAAACCAAAAGAAACTCAGAACTCTTCACAATGTTAGTTTAGCATATTTGAAACAATTATTGAATGTTTCCTGTTCCAACAGGCATCTGTCCAGGTTTTTACTGTTGGTGTAAAAATAGGAGCATTAACCTGAACCTGTGGTCATCTAAAGCTTTAAAGGATTTATCAGCCAAGTTCATTCTACCAACTCAAAGCAGCTGGTTAGCAGGTTCTGCTCTTTCTTAAAACAGCTTTTAATTTGTTACTGTTATAACTAACAACAACTTAAAGGGACTGAGCCTCATTCTGCACAGACTGTCTGAACCCACAGGCATCTGAACACAGTCAACATGATGGCTCCTGTTTTCAGATAGACGTTTGTTTTGTCCCAGGAGCCTCAGCTTGTTGTCATAGCAACCTGGGTTTAAGCAGGGCCTTCAGCATAGAGCTATAGATGTAGATCATGGTTTGTGCAGAGAGCTATAGATGTAGATCATGGTTTGTGCATAGAGCTATAGATGTAGATCATGGTTTGTGCATAGAGCTATAGATGTAGATGAGTTCTTCCCCCATTTCTCTGATCAGTTTCTGATCATTCTGGTTTCTTCTTTCCTCACTGAGAAATAAACTGCTGAGGAATAAACTGCATCTGGATCAGAACCTGCAGGAAACAGAAGCAGAAACAAAATCAGAACATTTCTGGAGTTATTTAAACGGGGCCTGCCAAAGTGTGCTCATCAGTTATAACCAGTGTTCTGATGCTACACGTTAGCATCACTGCTAAGCTTAGTTAAAATGTAGTCAGTAGCATGTGGAGAATCACAAGCATGTTGATTAAAACAGACCTCCTCCATTCACTACGCTAAAATTAATGTATAAGATAAAATGAGCAAAAATGCTAATGTTAGCTTGAATGCTGTCAGTAGCATGATGTCTAACTTTGCTCCATCTGCAGCCAGATGGAGCAAATTGTGACTGATGTGTGAGGAGTCTTTTAAAATGTTCTTGGTTTTTATGGTAAAGGCTAATGCTAATGCTAATTCTAATGTTTAATGGTAGTGCACTAGTTGACAGTGCACTGCTAATGTTTGTGTTAATGTTATTGCATTGCACTCTGCAAGGCAGCAAAGCAGCAAAGCAGCAAGGCAGCAAGGCAGCAAGGCAGCAAAGCAGCAAGGCAGCAAGGCAGCAAGGCAGCAAAGCAGCAAGGCAGCAAGGCAGCAAGG